TTCGCTGTTGAAATGAATGGCGTTGGCGTACGGGCAGTGTGTACTGGATACGCGGGCGATCGCAAAGAGCTGGCCGCTGCTTGGCATCATTGCAATGATGAAGCACCGTCCGCAGGACATTCGAACACTAGTGTGTGTGTGTGCACGTGTGTGTGTGTGTGTGTGTGTGTGTGTGTGTGTGTGCGTGTGCGTGCGCGGCAATGACAACACGTGAGCTGCCTGATCCAATTCGGCACAATACACGGCTTACTGTGCAAATGGAATTTAGGAATGTGCCCAGCTCACACGTGTATATGTCTACAGGTACCGACGATCAGGTCCGATCCAGTTTGGAAAATTAAGTTCTGACAGCTTGTGTTTCAACTCGGTCTTTTCACAGGTAGCAGTCTCACCTTATTTCAAGTTATTTGTCACCAGCATGACTGTGTATTTGGTGACGAGACCAGCCGTCGGTCAGACTCGCTTCTAACTTACATTATGGTCTGTGTGCATGCGGGATGGAACGACATTACGTGACTCTGGGCCTGCCATGGTATTATCTGGTACCGGTGTGAACATTCATAACATAGGCACTGTACTGAGCAATCCAGAAAGTTGGCCATTGTCAGTATTGTCAGTCTTCACTGGCATGCTTTAGTAGCAGCTTTACCTTGTGCATGTGGTGTGGGGCCGGTTGGCCTGCCACAGACCCCTCTAGCATTGCATCATGTTTCTTGATCCTGCCGCCCCATCTCGCCCCAGGGTCCCCGGGAAGACAAATTCCGATCCGAGTCTTGCTAGCATGGGCAGCAGGTGCAGGCACTCGACAGCATCATGGCAATTCTTACATCCGACATGTCTACTTTAAAGGCTCGTGCCATGCAACCTTCGCCTGGGTACCCGGTGTAGTGTCTTGCATTAAAGCCTGTCTTATACAGAAGCCTGATTTTCGACATGCACTGTCGGCACATAAGCCCGGCCTTAGTGTTGACACAATGGAAATACTTGCTTTGAATACCCATTAGGGACGTTGTCCCTTACTGAGACTCCTGGGGCAGCATAGTTTGAGCGACAACGCACCCAAAACCAGCGACAGGCTTGTTCGACAGCACGGGATCTCCCTCAGGGCCGATCAAAGACTGCAGTGCATCAGGTGGCTTTCCATCTTCTTCCTTGCAGGTGAAGCTGGCACGTGGAACTGTCAGCATGCCAATGCCAAAAAACTTCTTTTCTGCCGAAAACACAGTTTTGCAACCAGCCACATTCACTGTCAGCAGCAGCGTGTTTGTAAGTGAATGGCCCATTCCATTATAACATGTAGATATAGGTGTGCATGGTGAGATAGGATCTCAAGTGCTGCCATTGTCCATTGAGACCTTCGAAGGCGTCGGGCATTCACGCCTGCATAATAATGTGCAACCGTGATTGCCTTCACATGTACAGGTACACCGCCGCGTACCGGCTCCTGCATTGCATATCGGAGCTTCGAGCTTCGATATAACAGTGTATACCAACCGGAAATTGGGATTTCCTTTGCTCGAGATAGCTTGGGTATACACTGTTATATTTCCGCTCTCCGCTCCTCATACCCACTTCACATCACAATGCATCATTGCTTGTGAAATGGGCAATTGCACACAGTGTGGCACTGTCAGTTGTTCGCCTTCATGATCAGATACTTCACAGCTACATGACAAACATCATGATTGTATGAAGCGAGTCAACTGCGACTCATGGACAAACAGCAGGTTGAAGTTGCTTTAGAGTTCCATGAACGAGTTACGTTTGGAATCACGCGATAGTCATCTTGTTTGGCATGACTTAACTGTTCTTCCATACCAGCCTCGCGTAAAAGGACCTTTTCAACATACAGAAATTAAAAAGAGAGGAGAAACATGGATACGAGTTATGAACAACTGCCCACGACTAGTAGTCGACTGTATCTTGATAACATGCTGTCGAAACTGAGCGCGACAACTGCCTGTATAGTAGGCACGAAACTGACAGAGTACTGGGATATTCGACGATCTGACACCTGGCTCCAACATACATGTGTCTGCGATGCACAAACCAAACGCCGGACAACTTGCAAGGTTCATAGCTAAGAAAGTGGAAAGTACAATTCCTTTAGACTTTCATCTTTATGCATTTCTATTTTCCTTATGAAGGAAAATAGGCAGCGAGGAGCCAACAATTTATAACGCTATGATAATAATCAGCCGTGCCGTCATGTCCACACACACACACACACACACACACACGCACACACACACGCACACACACGCACACATACACACGCACACACACACACGCACACACATACACACACACGCGCGCGCGCGCGCGTGCGCACACACACACACATATACCACACACATACACACACCGTGGAAAGGGCGCGTTCAGACTACCGTGAACCCCGTCAAACCGTGAATGCCGATAAACCGTGAAGGACATTCACACTACCGATAACAAACTAACGTTACCGTGAAGTTTTCAGCTCTCACCGCGGCACTGACAAGGGATTTTCCCTTTTTTTCGCAGCGCGCATGCAGCCTGAGCACGCACTTTTTTACTGCCGGTAAAAGTTTACTGCGCAGCAGCCGCGGCAGTAAAACTTTCCCACCGGTAACGTGCCAGTAACGTCACGTGATCTAATCACCTTGGCGACTTTCCCAATCGGTCACTTTTATCGGTAGTCTGAACGCGCCCTTAGGACGTGACGTTACTGGCACGTTACCGGTGGGAAAGTTTTACTGCCGCGGCTGCTGCGCAGTAAACTTTTACCGGCAGTAAAAAAGTGCTCAGGCTGCATGCGCGCTGCGAAAAAAAGGGAAAATCCCTTGTCAGTGCCGCGGTGAGAGCTGAAAACTTCACGGTAACGTTAGTTTGTTATCGGTAGTGTGAATGTCCTTCACGGTTTATCGGCATTCACGGTTTGACGGGGTTCACAGTAGTCTGAACGCGCCCTTTCCACGGTGTGAGTATGTGTGTGGTATATGTGTGTGTGTGTGCGCACGCGCGCGCGCGCGCGTGTGTGTGTATGTGTGTGCGTGTGTGTGTGTGCGTGTGTATGTGTGCGTGTGTGTGCGTGTGTGTGTGCGTGCCGTGGTACACACATACACACGCACACACACACCTCAGACCTCAGACCTGCCCATCGCAGAAGCAATGATAGCGAACAGCTATGTTAGACATAGCAATTAGTGCTGGGATTACACCATTCAACAGCTTGCACTTTTTGAAGGCTGATGAATTGACTGCCATTAATTTTAGCCTGGTATCCACCACACAGCTGATTGAAGTGGCTTTTTCTGGCCAGTGAATCCCTTTTTTTCTCCTTTTTTTCATTCTTACACCTTGACCTTGACCTTTGACGCCCATCGCCGGAGGCGATGATAGCAATGCTACGGCAGAAGCCATAGCGACTTGTGCTGGGATTACACCATTCAACAGCTTGCAAGGCTGAAGAATTGACCGTCACTATTCAGCCTGGTCTACACCATACAGCTATTTGGAGTGACATTTTCTGGCCAGTGAATCCCTTTTTTGGTCTTTTTCATTTTTTTTTCCCGCACACACATCACACCACATACTCCGGCATGCACTGGCTGTTGGTAACCACCCAGGAGAATGAAAGAAAAGTCAGGAAGAGTCTGAGAAAGAGAAGAAAGACGTGTGTGACCATAATCGTCGGGAATCGAACCCGCAATCTATCGATTGGAAATCGCTGCACATACCACTACACCATATGGGACACACAACCATATGGGACACACACACACACACACACACACACACACACACACACACACACACTACCTGCACACACACACGCACACACGCACACACTCTTACACACACACTCACACACACACATACACACCTGGTCCTGGTAAACACTGCCATTACGGTCACGTGTCCCCTTACGGGGCCGACAATATAGAACGACGAGCGGGACCATGTTCGAGAGAGCCATCTCCAGCAGCTATGGATCTGGCTTATCATCGGAAACGATTCCTCTCACGGCTGCCGCTAGAACTGGTCCATCACTCTCCACAACAGAGCGAACATTCCATGAGCCAACGCTCAGAGTCGTTCCAAGTTGTCGTCTTCGTGCAGTAGTTTGCTCCACTCGCGGGCTTGCAAAGCCTCGCGAAGGACTCCGAGGTGGGGGCGACGAGGAGAG